TTATCGCTTACACACCTGATTACAAGTAGAGGAAAATTATAGCGGACAGCATGGATCTTTGATTCGACTCGCGGATTCCAACAGGCTGTTCTGGATCCATGTCTGGGGCACAACACACTAATGTTGTATTTTAGTGTGTATGCAGCTCAAAGACATATATATTTTAATACTGATGATAGGGACGGATGTTGAGAGCGAGAGCGAGAGCGTGTGTGGGACAGTAGATTGCCGAAGAAGAAAACATGGCAATTTTTGTAACAAATATTTTCAATTTGTTAATACATACCAATAAGCACCAGTAACAATGGTTTTGTCATGCGTAATGCGACGCAGTTGGTTCACATTGGAATGATTTATGTGGAGGTAGGGAGTGTTTTTAGTTTTATTTCAATCTGACATTTATAAATTTTTCTCCTCTATAATGAAGTGTTATGTGTAAAAATGTTTAACCATATGTATTGTATTAAAATCAGGATATACCTATACTTCAAGATAGATAATATTATCATACGGAAAGTGAGTTCATTAAAAAATTTCTCTATGTGCATGTAAAAATTAATTTGAGAGACAGAAAATAGGAATCAGCAGAAATAAGTTTGGTGTTACTTCCACTATACACCAGAGAAAACAAACAAAACAAAAAAAAACAAAAAAAGATCGCTTCTATGTGATCTAACTCCTAACTATAAATCTGGCAACTCTCCTTAGGCTACTACCCACCAATGTCTCCGATCTACTATTCTCTGATAGTGCAAACGTGTCTTCACATAACACCAAAACATTGTTTACTTTAATTTGGAATTGACCCCTATATAGCATTACTGATGAACTCCATTTATTAAACATTCATATGTCAACTGTAATTAAATTGGTAAAATAAATCCAGAGTCTTTTTTAATTGAAAAAAAAAGACTTTCAAAATCAATCCAAATCAAAGTTTATGAAAATTTCCACACATAAAACAACAATAGAAATCATTAGAAGTTTAAATACAGAAGTTCAACTAGTATAAACATAGTTCGAAATAAGATTTGCCATTGCACACTAACTAGAAAACTGACAGGCTTTACTAGAACTCCAATGACCGTGATTTGTTGTTCATCTTAACTATAATTAGTGCATAGTTCTTTCGACATTCAAACAAGTGAATATTCTTATATGTGAAAAACAATTTCAAATGTACTGTCCTAATATTTCAAATTATAACCCTATCCTTAATATTCAAATGTGAGGAAGAAAGTAAATGAGTTCTGAGTACACAGAAAATTATTTTTTTTTGTTTATTTGATCATTTATTAACAATCTGATTTCCTTTGAAACTTAAAAAAAATGTTTCTCTTCAAAAATCCTTCATAATTCTATAAATTTAAAATTCACTACAAGTTGATTTTCCTTTCAATACATTTGATTACCACTTAACATAAAGAGCATTTACTTAAAACCTTAGTCATTTTCACAATCTATGACAGTCCTTGTTACTCATCCCAAATTACATACATATTTAATAATATTCAGACACGCGAGAGAGTGATCATAAAATAGAAAGATCACTAAACAAAATTTAAAAGGATATTACTATACTCTAATAATTATTAATTTAAGGTCCTTTTGTGCCTCCCTAGCATGTATCCTTTGTGCCCCTTAAGTACCTCTAAATTTAACATCGAAAAACATAATTTCTATCACCAAACATTAGACTATTTATTTTCTATAAATTATTAAATGTCTTAAACTCTCCATCCCTCCATACACACCTCACCTAGCAACCCTTACTACATTATAATAATATGCCCTAAGGAACAGGTAACTATTAAAACCGAGTCCCCTTTGATGCCTACCCTAGTACCAGTCCTACTTTCGCACAGCTGCAGCAATCACTTAGCGGTCTGGCAAACTACATCGATAACGTATAGAATTCTATCACGAAAAAAGAATTAATATTTTTCTCTTAAAAAATTATCACTTTTCTCACTAGAAAATATACATACACACTATATTATAAGCACATCGCCCTAGGCAACCGCCACATCTTAACGGTCTTCCCTCTTGCTCGCCCTCCGTGCGCCTACGCCAGTTCCCTTCCTTAAGGCGCACCTGAGCAGTCATATCTATAAGCGGATCTCAGCAACTCACCTCGAAAAATAAATTCTAATCAACCACACCAAGCTTATATTTTTTATTAATAACATGGTATAACATATTGTTCTCCACATAAACATTAGGTGTGAACGGATTATACCGGCCCCCCCTAGTACCCCGCACCTACCCCTATTTTGCAATTAGGAAAAATAAATTTCGAAAAGGCGCGGGGTACGTTTTGGAAAACCGGGTATTTTTATATAAAAAAAAATCACATAAAATTTTCAAATATGAATGCCTATCTAACTATGTATGGTGCGAGAGGATTTTTGCGCACCAATACCCATATTACTAAATTAGTTATATTATCAGGTTAAACTAGTTAAGTAACGTGGTGAGATAACCTCTCAATTTAAACTAGTAATTTATCAGGTTAACTAGTTACGTAACTCAAGTTAACCTCTAAAATAGAGATGAAGGTGGGTTAGGTATTAGTATAACTAGTTGACCATAACTAGTTAACCTCTAATTAACTAGTTTAAACGGTTATACAGGATTTATCTGAGGTGGCAAGAAAATATGCCACCATAAAATTTGTACAAATTCTCACATATAAAAAGATCATTATAATGGCAAGAATTCTTGTGTCGGCTAACAGTAACGATAAAAGTATCCGACCAATTAGTACACTTAAAAGTCAATTCAATAACCGGCCGCAAAAGCTTAAATAGCATTAGAGCGCGAGAATGTGAAGCATCAAACACAGCGACTAGTTTATTGTTTAGTCAAATTGAGTGTTCGACACTACTTGCTATGTGTGAGGTTGCGGTGAGTGGAGGGCGAGAGTTATTATGATAAAGGATTTATACAAGAAAATAGTTGAATACATATAATAATAAATATTATAAATGTTACATCAACATCTTTACATCAAAACATACCGACAAAATACGTATTGCCAATATATTGCAATACGCTCAAGCAACAATGGCAATTATTATTGCATACGGTGTTTGCAGTGTATTGTGAGCAACCCGTGAGCGTAGAGAAGTGCTAGAGCAGCGGAATATATACTATAAATGCCTAGGAGATAATATAAATGTCCATTTACCTCCCCTAGCAAGTGCCTTAGCAGGCTTCCTGCAATTCATCGAAAACATCGAAATTAATCATATCACCAAAAATTATATTTTTCTTAAAAAATACCATTTTTTATTCTATAACTTAACTACAATATAAAATAAAAAGCCCATAGGAAGTAATTAAGCGTCCTTTGTGCATCAGCGTAGCAGTTCCTTAAATGCGCAATCCTGAGCAGCTCTCAACTTAGCAGTCCAGCAACTCATTCAAAAACATAAATTCTGTCACAAGAAAATTACCGTGATTTATACTATAAAAATAAACCTCCTCACCACTCTTCCCTCTCCCCACTAAGGCCAAATACCAATATTAATTATAAGAATGCCCTAGGAGTGATATTTATAGGTCCTTTGGGCTCAGCTATAAGTCATTTTGTGTTACCTGAAGAGTCCTTACGGTCTGGCAAGCTCCATCGAAAACATACACAATCTATACACCAATATTAATATTTTTTCTTAAAAATGATAATACAATTTATTTATCACTAAACATACTACCATGTATGTAGTAGATGACCTTACAGTATTTATAAAGCAGATACCATATTGTAGCGGCTCCGTTCAGAAAAAAAATATTCAAGAGGTCCCATATACGCGAGTGGTGTGGCGGCAACCTGTAAGCGAAGTCCAATTAAGAACGAGGGTCCGGCAACTCATCCAAAAGCAAATGAGGGAATTCATAACACCAAAAGATTCTAGTGTGTGTGTGTCCTTACAATAATACTTTTTTGTCTATTAACTCTACTCAATATATACACTTATAAGAATGCTTCTAGGAGCGGATATTGAAAGGAATCTTTGTGGCCGCCTAGTCCAGTTAATATAGTGCCAAAAATCTGGACAGTTCGTTAAGCGGTCCGACAACCCTTTCAAAAAGCCATTGAATATATAATCACTAAAATATATCTTTTCTTAAAATAATACATTTTTGTCATAAACCGAAATTTACTACCTTGGTGGAGATTACTAAGATGTCATAAGAGAATATGTGTAACGTCCTTTCGTGTCACCCATAAGCAAGTACTATTTTATCTCGCCTCCATCCCCTAGCCAGCCCCAGTCCTTAGACGTCAGACAATCACTCATAAAAATTTCAACCAAAAATCAATAATTATTTCTGTAAAAAATTCCATAGTTTTTATTTTTCAAACTAAAAATACATAGCCGAGGTGTAATATAAGGAAATGGACCTCAGAGGTCCTGGTGTGCCTCTTTAAGCCTCAGTCCCTTTAGTGGCCTCCTTTAGCAGTCCTTAGCAGGTCCTTAGCATGTCCTGAAAGCAGATAGTTTAGTAGGAACCGTTAAGTATATGAATTGTCACATCACAAAAAATATTGAAATTCACAACAGAAATAAAGCAACTAAAAGCCAACGGAATTCTGATTGAGAACGACAGATCTAGCATTAGACTTATCTCCTGCCTCATCTTCGTAGTGGAACCCAGAGACAGGGAAGACCAGAATAAACACAGCAAAGGTAGCAGTGTATAAAATACCAAATGACAGTTTTAAAACGGAAAATGTAAAATGAACAATTAATTCATTGTATACTTTTCCACAATAAAAGGAAATCGAGCTTGGTTTCAGGGTTTGCCTTCTTCATATTACATATTAATCATGAGTCTTGTACATAGGCGAAAAGTTACAAATACAATAATTTTTTGTCACTCAAACGCTTCATGGATCGAACTGTTTTGGGGGCGAATATAATTCATGCGATTAAAGCAAAATGCTGCATATTTCAAAGAATAATAACCGCAGTTCTAGAACTTTTAAAGCTTACATTTCATGTTTATATAGTCAGCACTTGACTAGTTCTCATATTGTGTATGAAATCTATATTTATTTACAAATAGACAGAAAAAATCCGAAAATCGATGTTTTGGACTGCCCTTTTGTCCATCTGTCACTGTTATCCAAGTGGCAATCTATGGGTGTAACACCACCAAAATAAAAATAGTGCTCTCCACTTCTGCTAGTTGTCTCCCCTGAATAAATATGGCGATGGCGGGCGTCAAGCTTGTGAGAGTCTGATTACGTCGCATGAAATATCGACTAACAAAAGATATGCAGTATTCAAATCGACATAAGGTTTTGGAAAAACTGGTTTGTTGTATTATTTACCCAACAATATTGTGTTTTCTTTACAGATTATAGCAATAAGGAAAGATATTCGCAGCGATGGTTCGATTACGGAAAATGACTTGGAAAAAACTGAAGAACTAAATAGGTTTTTCAAGTCTGTATTTACTATTGAAGATTTGAACAATATTCCATATATAAATGATAGAAGTTCTGGTAAAAGTATCTTGGAAGTACAGTTCAATGAGCAAATTACCATGAAATTACTTGAAAATCTTAACGTAACTAAAATCATGTGGACCTGATTTCTTACACCCTAGAGTCCTGAAAGAAGTTAAGAATGAAATTGTTTCCATTGACTCTTTTATTTCATCAATCTTTTGAAAAAAGAGAAACACGATTGATTTGGAAACGGCAAATTTTGAAAGCGTTGTTTAAGAAAGGGGAGAGAAACCAGGCAGAAACTTTTCGACCAGTAAGTTTTGACTTGTTTTTCCCTTGTAAGCTTTGGAAAAGGTGGTAAGGGATCAATTAGTGAAATATGACTAAAAACAACTATTTTCAAATTCAAAATATGGATTCAGAAACACGGGAGATTGTGCTATACAATTACTGGAAGTTAGGGAAAAAAATGACGGGAGGTAGACGAAAAGTAAAAATTTTGATTGTATTTATTTTGATTTTTTAAAAGGGCGTTTGACACTGTCCATATGTTAGATTTTGAAGAAACTTGAAAGTTATGGAATTAATGGTAAATTATTAAAATGGATTGATTTCTTTCTCCGGGATAGAAGACAAAGGGTTGTAATTGGTAGTGAAAAATCTCAATGGAACTGAAAATACCAGTTTTATTCCACAGGGAAGTGTCTTAGGGCCTACATATTTTTGATTTACATTAACGACATAGAAGATGCCATTGAAGGAACATTGCGTTTATTTGCTGATGATACAAAAATGTACAATTTAGCGATGAGATGCAATATGAGAAATTCAATCTGACAAAGACAAATTAAGTATATGGAGTGAAAGTGGTTACTTAAGTTTTAAAGCAACAAATGCACTACATTTAAATACGGAATTATAATGTCAATAATACTACCATCTTAAAGTAAACAACACCAGAAATGAAATTTCAAAAGTGAATTGTTAAAAGCTTGGAGTTACTTTTGATGTGAAATGAAATTTAGACAGCAAATAAATGATTGCATCAATAAGAAATAAAATTACAGGACTAATGAGAAGAACATTTCTGCATTTCACAGTGAAATCTTTCGGGAAATTATTTAAAACCTAGTTAGGCCCCCATCTAGAATATGGGAAATATTTAATCCTCGTTTTAAAAAAGCATAATCAATTGAATCAGTACAAAACCCTGCAACAAAAATAGTTGGTCAAATAAGAAATTTTGTCAAAATGACAACGACTTAAAACACTGAAATTGCCGTCCTAGCATATGTCGATTTTAGAGGTGACATGATTGAAGTTTTTAAATTGTTTAATCATAAGGGGGATTTTTAACTATGAAGTGTTTTTGAATTTAAAAAAAATGCAATACAAGAGGTTATGGTATATAAAGTGAAATCATGTAGAACTGAGATTTAGAAGCATTTCTTTTCTCTACGGGGTTTTCTCGGGCTGGAAACAAATTTACCCGAAAGTGGTTGTGAAAAGCTCCTTTACTTAATAGCCTTTAAAAAAGGTTGGAACCCCCAAAAATTTATGGGAAACCCCAGTATAAAAACCCCCCAACCATACCGGATCAGGGGGGTACAAAACCGGGGGGGGGTTATAGAAGACGTGATGGAAAGGGCTTGCGACCTCAACCCAGTAAAGTAAAAGTAAAGTAAAGCTTTTAACCCTTGAACCCAGAAAAGATTCCCCCCCCATAACTAGCGGCAAAGTTACATTAATAAGTTTTTATTTTTGGGTTTCTTTTTATGGTTTTTTCAGGGCAAAAGCAAAACAGCATTTTTATAACTTTTTTTTGCAGGGGGTGAAAAAAGTTCAAATATATAAATTTTTTGTTTGTTCTCCCCTATTTGGGGGGCCTCGGGGGGGATTTTTTTCATTTTTCACCCTTTTTTTAAAAATATTTTTATAAAATAAAACTTATTCCTTAAACTGAGATTAACCCAATCCCGAAATTCCCCAAGGGAAACCCAGCAGAACTCTCTTTAAACCGGGGCTTTCTGGGACATACCAAATCAAAAAAGCTCTGGGGGGGTTTCCCTTTAAAAAAGGTTTAAAAAGTCTAAGGGTTAAACTGGGTAATTGGGTGTGCAATAGAAAAGGGGAGAGTTTTTGTTTTGTCCCAATTTTTTGGACTTTTAAAAAAAGGCAACTTCCCAATCAAAAGATTTTCAGGATTAAAATGGGATTTTTTTTTATGTTTTAAATTTGGGAAAAGAAGGGGCAATAGGGTTTGGCCCAGGGAAAATATGTGCATTCTCTCAATCAAATTGGGAAAAAAATTGTCCAAAAAAAGTATGTCATAGATGGGGCCCGGGGCCAAAAAATTTGGGAAAACCCTTTATTAGATAAGGGAAATAGTTTCTAATGTAGTGTTGGGGCTTTATAGTGCTAACTTTTGGGTTTTGTAAATCAAAAATGGCCCCATCAATTTTGTGCACCTTTCAGTTTTTATTTGGGTTTTTATCAAAAAATTGGTTTCCCTCATACATCAATAGTGGCCACACAAAAAAAAAGCAAAATGACATTAAAATTGGATAAAAAACTAATTAGATTGGGTTTAAAAAATAAGGAAAAGTTTTAAGGAGGGAAAATTTTACTTTATGGGAAATTTTGCTTAAAAGTGGGTTATTAAGGGGGAAATAGGGGCATAGAAGGGGCCCCATTTAATATGGGGCATTTGTTCAAACAAGGGTTGGCCAATAATGTCGAATAACCCTATTTTCATAAAATGGCCAAGGTTAAAACTGGGGTTAAAAATGATAAGATTGGTTGAAACAAAAAAAACAGTTTAAGGGAGAAGTCTTAACCAAAGATAGTGATTTAATATTTGGGGTTAAATTTGGTTAAGTAGGTCAATTTGATGGCCCGGGAGTTAAATTTTGGGGATCCCCCTCATCAAAATTGGGGGTGAAAAATTTTAAAAAAAAAGTATTCACAGATGGGGGCCCCAAACAAAAAAAACATTTCTAAATAAACATTTGATTTGGGTCGGGAAACTAAAACACAAATTCAAATCAGAGGTTTATGGGAATAAATTTGGGAA